ACTTGAAAAACACAACACTTTCTCAAATCGTAGTAAAATGGTAGTAGTGGAATTGGACTTAACCATTGTTTACCCTTTTGAGAGTATCATGATAAGTGAGATGTTTATGTTATAAAAAAAGTGAAGACCTCAAACGTACTTTTACGCAAAGTTATTAGTTCCATGTGCTGCAATTTAACATGAAGTTAGAGTGCATAAACCTAAGCGGCTATCCCCCAGCAAATGATTTAGGCCAGGCACTTCCCGTGTCAAAATCGCGAAACTATCAGTTTTTACGCAATTTGAGAAAACAGAATGACTAAACGAAGTACAGGAAGCCGAAGCTGAAATATCCAAGAACAAACACATACCAAAAATTATATCTCAAAAGCCAATATTCGTGGTATATTGTAAGCCTAACTGAAAAAGTGTTACTACCCTAAATATCCAAACATATTTTTCTGTAAGGGTAGTAAAACATATTGTCATGGTTCTATCCGCCCTCAATCGTCACTACCCACCCATAGTGACACATACATACTTTATAAAAATAATGATTATAAGTACTTACAGCCAGGCTCTGTTTCCGTGAAAGGGTAGGTGTGATGTTTTTCTAATTTAGCTTTAAACGCCGTCTCGGGCGAAGTAAAAAGATTGCTAGTGTCAATCGATCCAAATATCCCTACCACCATTTTATCGACTTGAAGTTAAAACCAGACAAATGCGAGCCTTCGTTCTATCGTTCCCGAATTCTCGGTACATCGAATACAAAGGCGCGCGTTTTTTGGAACGTGTTCACCGTGTTTCGTATTTGCATCAAGGCAAAAGGTAGACATAGTGCATTACACAATCGAATAACTGAATAATGTTGTGAGTGTGTTTTATCAGTTGTTTTTATCAATTTGTTAGAGGCTGTCAAAAATACGCTGAAATATTTTAATGAGTGCATATGTTAATCGTATTATAACTTAGATAGAGTTCCCGGAAAAATAACAGTTAATAAGAGCAAATATTTAGTAGTTTCTCGGTCGAACGAAAGCAGTAAGATATGTATTCCTACCAATACTGGTATGTATTGAAGTTCAATATATTGGTCAACCAATATTCCATAAATTTTAATGGGTTGAAGTTTTTCAGTGACGAGTAAAAACAACATAATTTTATTCGGTGAAAATACACAACACACTGAATGGTAGACATTACTCTACTTCTATGATGGCTCAACTAGCGGTTCATTGCATTTTCTTATGCCGTTCTGCGCAAAACACCGTGCACTATGTGTGGTTTGTACTGTAAAACGCAAAACGTGTCAACCCCGGAAGTTCGAAAATTACGTGGTTACTGCCGAGTCGAACAGACGCGGTGTATTCGATATATTGAGAATTCGATGCACGCTCAAAGTTTTGCGCAATTCGATTTAGGAACAATAGAACGAGGATATCGTCATCTCTGGCGCGCGAACTGTGAAAATTCGTTACCACCCACACGGGGCTTTTCGAATTCTCCGGAACTTTCCGAAATCGAACCATATTGACACGTTACGGATATTTTCCATCTTGAATTGTCATCAGGTTCTTTGAAAAAAAAGAGGTAAGATATAATAATTTAATTATCAGATTTCATATTGTAAGAAGAAAAGCCTTCAGTTGATCGACCTTCACAATGGCCATTATGTCGTGTTTTCATTGTTGTTCGTATCATATTGTTGTGATTGGTTCTCGCTGCGATGATTGTACTTCGTTATATCTCCTCGACCAATAGGGACTTGTTCCAGATATAGTGATTATCCAACGTAACTTTGCAAACCAGTGTAAATTACTTTATTTCTTAAATAGGCCAACACTGCCAAAGATGTTGTCCTTTCGGAACCAAGAATCGGACGATAGGGTGGAGAAAAAGATAAGCGTTGCGGCGTGCAACGTTTTCCGAGAACTCCGACAGAACCGCCAGCTATGCGACATAGTCATCCAGGTCGAGGGGCAGGAATTCCCCGCACATCGTAACATCTTATCAGCTTGTAGTCCGTATTTTCGGGCCCTTTTCACTAACGGAATGAACGAGACATTATTGAAAACCGTCAAAATACCTGGTGTATCCATACGAACTATGGATCAGATTATTGACTATGCTTACACCAGGGAAGTCGTAATTACAGAAAGCAACGTGGTTGATTTGGTAGTTGCGGCTGACCAATTTCATTGTCTTGGAATTGTAGAAAAGTGCGCCGATTTCCTTGCTGACAGGTTGTCATCCGACAACTGTATCGGAATTCGTCGATTTGCTCAGAGTTACTACATCCCTTCCCTTGAGGAATCTGCCAAGCAGTACTTATTGAAACATTTCGATACCGTTTCGTTAAATTTCGACAAAGATGAGTTTCTGGAATTGACCTGTGATGAACTGTGTGAATACATCAGCGATGACGACCTGAATGTAAAACTTGAAGAGACCGTCTTTGAGGCTGTGATACGGTGGATCGATTTCGACCCCGAAAACAGAATAAAACACCAATACTCCCTTTTGTCAAGAATTCGTCTTGGCTTAATCAACCCGGACTACTTCATCAGTAAGGTCAAATGTCATAAATACATACAGGACAACGAAGAATGTAAACCACTTATCATAGATACAATGAAATACTTATACGATCTGAGTGTCCACGATCAGCATTATCAAAATCCGTTAGCGCGACCCCGTGTCCCGTACGATGTCCTTTACGCGGTCGGTGGGTGGAGCGGTGGAAATCCAACGAATGTGGTCGAATCGTACGACACACGGGCCGATCGGTGGCGGATGGTCGACAGCACCGACAACTCGCCGCGTGCGTATCACAGTGTCGCTGTCTTAAACCACTTCATATACGTCATAGGTGGGTTTGATGGTAACGAGTATTTTAACAGTTGTCGCTGTTTCGACCCGGTTAAACGAGTTTGGAAGGAGATAGCGCCAATGAACACCAGGCGTTGTTATGTGAGTGTTACCGTGTGTGGACGTAATATCTATGCCATGGGTGGTTTTGATGGACATACAAGGACAAAATCTGCTGAACGGTAAGTGAAAATTGCTTTTAATACTGTATAAAAAATGTATACATTGTATACAACTTAATCAATATATGCATAAAAACAAAGTAATACGTCTTTTGCTGTGTATGTCACGTCTTTAGAGGGCGTTACTTACTCATAAGGGTGTATTGTACGAATAATGAGTCGCTGAATGACAACATCACTTCCTAAAATATATTCTCTTAGATACACCCAAGAGACAAACCAATGGAGCCTGATACCCAACATGAATCATCATCGTAGCGATGCATGTGCCACGGCGTTACTTGATAAAGTATATATATGCGGCGGCTTTAATGGGCAAGAGTGTCTGAACACTGCCGAAAGTTTCGACCCAATGACGGGTAGGTTCTTTCCTTCTAGCAACACGAAAAACTATTCTACATCTTTTATCATAATTGCAAACGGGTGCTGGGTCTTAGCGTTCCCGGGGCGGGGCGTACTCACATGGACTCCGCGGCCAGTTCAAAGGGGGTCCAAACTAATCGGCGTTGAGGGTGCTTTTTTTTGCTTGAAAACTGACGTTTTTCGCCAAAAAATGACTTAAATTTTGCTAAAATAGACAAACCAAAAATGTTAAATTGGGGTCAAAAACTTGAATATCGGCTTGACCATGAAAATGGGCGTCAAAACAACGCCACAAAAACTATGGGAGTACATCTCCCAGGCGAGGAAGCTGTCAGTAACACAGTTAGTTGATACTAAATTCATGCTGTTCATATTACAGATACATGGACCAACATTCCAAATATGCGAAGTAGGCGTAGTGGCGTTGGCGTTGTAGCATATAATGGGTGCGTCTACGCCGTTGGAGGTTTCAACGGATTATCCCGTCTCAATACAGCGGAGCGGTACAGTCCCATGACAAACCAATGGACTACCGTCCAAACTATGTACGTCCATCGTAGTAACTTCGGCATTGCTCAGCTAGACGAGATGATTTTCGTCATCGGTGGTTTTAACGGTGTCACGACCATTTTTAACGTAGAGTGTTACGACGAGAAAACCAACGAATGGTACGACGCGTCCGACATGACGGTTTTCCGAAGCGCCCTCAGCTGTGCAGTGGTACACGGCTTGCCGAATAGACGTGAATACACCTGGCCGCGCGTCTCACTGGATGAGGATGTTGCCTCCCTCAGCTCGCATACTGTCTCGGATATAGGGCCGGCTACGCCTCGGCGAATGTCTGCGGGTACACATCGTGCTAGGAGTGGCAACCCCCGCGCCGCTGTCGTGGACCAACGCATGGACTCTCCAGAACACAGTGAGGCGGACGATGAAGAAACCGACACAGGTAGCGACAGTGGTATGGACGAAGACGCTGACGACGAAGATGAGAACAGAGGCCCTGAATCTGGCAACGATTCCATGGACAACAATGGGTTCGCACTGGTACACATGGCATAAATTTAAATTTTACTTTTAAAATGGTAATTAGTGTTATATTTAGAAATGATGACAATGTGGATTGCTGGGAGGGCAGTCCACTGATTGAAATCATGTCTTCTGTTATTATTTTGGAATTGTATAGTAACCAATGAAATTTAATTTTACATGTAATTAATTTTGAACTGGTACGGTGTTTCAATACGTACGCGGAATAATCAGCGCGAATGTATAATGAAATGGTAATTTTGACAATTACACATTGCAGTGATAGCGTCCTCTATGTTTGAATTTGAATGTAAGTAAAGGCCCCAAAAACCGGCGAGTATCGCCTCTAACTACACCTGAGAATCACGGCTAGACAGCTCTAATCTGTTGCGTAGTTGTCAACGTTACTCACAACTTGTCAGTAACATGAGTTCTCATTGGTTGTTGATGATCTAATTTAGGATTGTGTAAAATTGTTCACTACCACCATCTTGAACTCATTTCGATGTCTAGTCAAATTTATCATACTGCCAATGTCTTGCTCGCTATTTTAGTTCTTTAAAATGATTTATTCAATAGAAGTTAGATTACTTTCCGTCACTATACCGAGTAACTATGTAGATGTGACCATTAGGGGCATTATATTGATGCTCTCTTTTTGTCGACTTGATAGTGCGCATATTATATCCGGAATTTGCTAATGGACTATATATCGCTAGTAATCGTCAAAAACACTGTGCCGTATAAATGTCGTCTATGTCTCGTGATACCCAACGCATAGTGTTCAGCCCTTACATCAACATACTGACAACATTCCGACATTCAACATAACCCGTAATAAAGTATCAACAACATTATAAATGTATACAAAGAAATGTACATGTTTGCGAGGTGACGAATGGTCGCCATTTTGAAATACTCAGTGCTAAAGATATCGCTCTTCTTCATATCTCCTATTCCTCTTATGTTGTTGATAATATGTCCGATAATATTTCATTTCGTTGTCTTCTTCCTCTTCCTCCTTGTCTAGAGCAAATTTCTGTTTTTTCTTAAAAAGATCCGATACGGCGTATGTCTGTATAGTTTTAAAGAGGGATGGAGAAAGATACAAATGAAAGATTCCTTTCATTCAAATTCATTGCGACGCGAGAATATCGTTCCCATTTATTTAGCCACTGTTCACACGAGTATTTCATATTTGAACGGAAACTTTGACTTACCAAGAAAACAGCAATTGTTATTCCTAGTGCTGTTCCCGCCAAAACATCGATAGGATGATGTCGTCTGTCGTAGATGCGCGATAAAGCGCAGAAGGATGCAACGAACAAACACACAACTTGAAGGAACGGTTTCACCAAACGGGCACTTCTCCATAACAATCGTGCTTGAATATAAATCTAGTAACAAATAGAACGTATTTAAACTGTCGACACAACTTACAACTACGATATGATGTCATTTGTTTATTTTTATTTTATGGAATTATTTTAAGGAATAATTGGTTCAAGATAATTGATGCTTTTTTTTTACGAGGTCGCGCGGAATGAATGAAAGGCGTGGATCGAGTGTCTGTCGCAAAAATCGAGTGTCTTTGGTTTTGAACTTGAACATCTCTTGTCCAATGTCGAAATGGATTATGACTTTGAGATATTCTTACTTCTTTACAATTGTGTGTAGCACATTACTAGTATTAAGCGCGGAAATACCCAAAAAATAGTTTCGTCGGATTCTACGCAATGTTTTGATGCCACTATGACGCCACGGTCTTTGTTCATTTGATTTCACGCATAACGCGGGATCTCGCAGTGAACGGAAAATGATATATTATGTCATCATTAAAACTTACCGCTAGAAACATCATGGAATAAAATGAAGTTGATGCATGGCCCGATGGAAAGGATTGTCTAAAAACAGAAAACAATATTTAATTCTCACCGCTAACTAGTTGGGCAGAACATGAGTATGTAGTAATATAATGTTCTGAACCTGCATAGGCCTGTGTTATTATACCTACACGTCACCTAAAATGTAATAGAATGCCGCATAGATCATTATTCTCTGGGTATTTTCATTGCTTAGCAGCCACGATCACCGATAAAAACAGAAGCCGAAAACTCCCAGGAAACGGTACTTTGGGCTAGTTGTTGAGGCTTTCCTAAGAAATGTAAAAAGATTACCTACCCTTCATATACAACAT